GTGGGTTGCTGGCATTTCAGGCCAGGGCATTAATGGCTCTTTGTCCCACAGCACACCACCATCTTCATAAATGCCAATTCTGTAAAGAATTTTAGGTCAGGTTTGTTATGGTATGCATACAAACATATATGCTTGAAATTGATCCATTCTCACCTAACTTTAATAAGGACTGCTTGCAGAGGTGACTGATGGCTTGGCACCTGGGAACTTGTATTTTAAAATGTACCCTCTGTGACTAATTGAAAAGGTTCATTTGTACACCTAGAGCTTTGAACCCTATTATACTAGCCTGCCTGCATTGCTTGAATGAACAACTTGATTGATGGTGAACATTTGCTTTCCTTCTGGGCATATTGAATTTTATAAATTGTGGCTAGTTATATAGGGAGAGAGTGTTTATGTGACCAGCTTTCAGTTAAAAAAACATGGAGTATAAATAGTAAATGGGCTTTCTTTGGCCAAAATATTATGAACCCATTACCCTGGTTTATTCCTGGAGAACAAAGCTTGCTCTGTTTGACTCCTTTGCCCTCCATTCATGAAAGAGATTTTAAAAAGCTTACCCCCTGAGTCTTTCTAGACTTTATCGGTTGTATCTTTTCTCTTGATTATCTTTTTTTGCATCCTTTCACTGAAATAAAATATACTCATGAGTACAAAACCTAGGCCCTGTGAGCTTTTCTACTGAATTACTCAATATGGGTGCTTTAGTATCCTCAAAACAATGGATCTACAATATTATTTTTCTTTCTCTTATATTTTAAAACAATAATAATTTATATCAAAATCATCTTTACCTCTAATATATCTAGCAATTCTTCTCACCCATTTTAAAAAACATTATTTATTTGAGAGGCATAGAGAGAAGGAGAAAGAAAGAGAAAGAGTGAGCCTTCATCTGGTAATTCACTTTCCAAATGCCCACAATGGGCAGGACTGATGTGGGTTGAAGTCCAGAACCAGGAATTTAATTCAGGTTTCTCATGTGGATGGAAGGAACCCAGTAACTTGAGCTGTCTCCACTGCCTCCCAGGATTTGCATCAATGGGAAGCTAGAGTCAGGAGTTGGAGCTGGGCATTAGATACAGGGACTCTGATACAGGACATAGGCATCTTAACTGACCTCAAATGCTAGCTAAACACTTGACTCTCACCAAGATTTCTGAGGCCTGTGTCCCTGAGAATATTTGCATTACACTGTCACATTCATGAATGTAACAATTGTCACATTGTGGATGAATAAAAAACTCTAATGTCAAAACTCTTTTCCATCAATGCTATACAAATATTATACCCTTTCCTCATTATTGAAAAGTCTGATATAGGTCTGATTTGTTTCTTTATATGCTATCTGGCTTTTTAGTATAAAAGCATTTAGATTTTTTTCATGTCTTTAATATTCTTAAGTTGTTCTATAATATATTTAGGTTGCATTTTGCTACATTAGCAATAGACAAAACAATACACCATCATAATAACATTAAGTGATTTCATTTAAGTGCATGGCATTTTGTGACCCTTTTCCATCTAGGTTTTTAATTTGAGGAAATTTATGTCCATTATTTCTTCAAACACTTCCTTATGCCCATTTTTACCTCTCCTTCTGGGACAATTACTATCCAAATATCAATTTTTCTGTTTTTACCCTCCATATTGCTTTCCATACTATTGTCTCTGTGGAGAATTCCAATACACTAATTCATTCAACAGTTGCATCTAATTTTCCTATTTACTTTGTTCTTTTTTACAACTATAATACTTTCCACATTCAATGTCTCTATGAGATTCTTTTTTATAATTTCCTATTACCTCAATATCAATGACTCTTTAATCAATTTTTAAAAAAACATTTATTTATTTGAAAGGCAAAGTTACAGAGAGGAAAATACACACACAGGCAGAGACACATACACACATACACACATACACACACACACACAGAGAGAGAGAGAGAGAGAGAGAGACTGCTTCCATCAGCTGGATAACTCCCCAAATGGACACAGTGTCTGAAGCTGGGCCAGGCTGAAGCCTGGAACTCCATCTAGGTCTCCCCGGGCAACAGGGGCTCCAGCACTTGAGCAGTCTTCCTTTGCTTTCCCAAGTGCTTTAGCAGGAAGCTGGTCCAAAAATGGAGCATCTGGGATGCTGGGACTTGACCCAGTGCCCATATCGTATGCTGGTGTTGCAGGTGGCAGCTTAATCTGCTGTACCACAATGTTGGCCCCTATTTTTTCACTTTAAGTATATTTATCATGCTTAGTTTAAATAAAAGTAAATTCATATATTATCTTACATAATGATTTGGCATTAAATTGCATATGGATGATAAATTTGTTCTCTCTCTTTTATAGTGAATATGTCTATGGTAGAGTTATTGCAGAAACCTCAAGAAGGGTGTGTAGGTATGCCCTACACTGTGTAAATCCCAGAGAGGGAAGCTGACTGCCTTGTAAGCTTCCTTTTGTAAAGGCCCACATAGAGAAGCCTCTTGCCAGTAGCCTGTGAGGGACTGAATCTTGTGAATAGTCATATGAGTGAGATTAGAAGACATTCTGGGGGACGGTTCTGTGGCACAGTAGACTAGGCCTCCACCTGCAGCGGTGCCATCCTATATGGTCACCCATTTGTGTCCTGGCTGCTCCACTTTTGACCCAGCTCCCTGCTAATGGCCTGGGGAAGCAAAAGAGGACAGTCCAAGTGCTTGTACCCCTGTACCCGTGTGGGAGACCTGGAGGAAGCTCCTGGCTTCTGGTTTGGTTCAGGCCAGTTCCGCCTGTTTTGGCCATTTGGGGAGTGAACTAGCAGATAGAAGACCTCTCTCTCTCTCTCTCTTTCTCTCTCTTTTGTAACTCTGTCTCTCAAATAAATAAATGAATCTTAAAAAAATAAAGATGTTCTGTAGTTGATCCTTTGTGCAAGAGGATTTTCTTTCTTTTTGCCAACAGCTAGACTGTAATCTCAAGACATATCTGAGTCAGAGATACCCAGTTTATATGTGCCAAGATTCCTAACCTATAGAAACTGGGAAATAATAAATGTGGCTGTAAGATGCTGAATTTTAAGGTAATTTGTCACACTGCGGTAGATAGCTAATACAGATTTAGTGTAAGAAATCGAGTGCTGCCATAACAAATATTTAAAATAGCTTCAGAACCAGATAGTGGGAAAAAGGTAGAAAGATTTTGATAAGCATGATAGGCAAAGCTTAAAGTGATTTGAACATAGAAATTTGAATTTTGAGGAGGCTGCTGCTAAGGCCTTAGGGAAAATCCTATTGGGAGCTGGAGTCAAAGGGGTACTTGTTATATAATGGCAGAAAATTTAGCAACACTGTTACCTGCAGTAAGTAACACAAAAAGTGGAAACAGTATAATGAACTTAGAAGGTTTCTACATGAAATCTGGAAGGTGTTGCTTGCTTTCCTCTTGAAGCTTATAGTAAAAAGTGAGAGGAAATAAATCTTGGGAAAGAATGTTAAACAAAAAGGAGCCAGGACTTTATGTTTTTGAAAATTTTCAGTCTCTAACCATAAAACAATGATAAAATTAAGAAATGGCTTCTGAGGTAAGATCAAATCCAGACAAATGGTCTGAAAATAACCAAGGAAGTGACTAGATAACCATAAAAACTTTTTCCTAAGACTTCAGAAAAAACTCAAGGTGTTACTTCCGACTAGTTTTCAGTCACACAAGACCTTTTAACTAGATTAAGGATGTGTCTCCCACATTCTTTAAATAAAATATTAGGACCTTTAGGAACTTTGAGATGTCTCAAATATCCTATCTCAAGCAGGTTTATAAGTGTGACTTTTTTACACTTGAGTACAAAAAGATTCACAGGAAATCCATAAAAATTTAGATAATTGTGTCAGTAGACACACTACCAACTTGGACAATGATAAAAGGAATGAAGGGGACAAATTCATTTGACACCCAAAATTCTGCTACTAGGAGTAGGAAGAGAAAAGTAGTTAGCCACAAATATGTGCTGCCTTTCAGGAAAAGGGAATGATGGTTCAGAGGGCAAGACCAAAGGTCAGAGGGAAAGACCAAGGGTCAAAGGGCAGAGCCAAGATCCACAGGGAATTATCCTCAGCCCTTGAGACCTATTCAAGGAATTTCCAATATTTGCCCTGCAGGATTTCAGAATCGATATAGATCACTGAATCTTTTGTGCTTTTCATTTTCTGTTATTTTAAATAGGAATATCTGCAATTGTTATCCTTATGACTGGTCCATTATTGTGTGAGGCATGGGAGAGGTAGTTAATTCATTTCTTTAGTTTCACTGGCCTACAGACTGAAAGGAACTATACTGAAGGAACTATATTTAAAGAATTATACCCAAGAAGTCTCATCTACTCTTGGACCTGATTTAGATGAGATTCTGTACTTTGAGCTGATGCTGTAAAGTGATATTTAAGGACCTTAGAAGTAAGTGAGCATACTTATATGCATTAGGGACATGAATCATTGGAATAAAGAAGGCAGACTATCCCATTCAGCCTCATAGATGGTGATCAATAATCCCCACTTCATGATATTCACACTATCTGTGATACTCTCCTTTTGAATGTGGGCCAGATTTAGTGATGCATATAGAATCGACAGTTGTGGGATGGATATTGTGGTGCAGCAGGTTAAGTTTGAGATGCCGGTGTTCCATATCAGAATATCTGGTATTAAGTTTCACATTTGTTTCCAATCCAGCCTCCGGCTAAGACACACCCTGGTAGGCAGCAGATGTTAGCTCAAATAGTTTGGTATCTGCCACCCACAAGGGAGACTCAAATGGAGTTGCTAGTTCCTAGCTTCATCCTGGCGCAGTCCTGGCTACGGAGGGCATTTGGGAGTAAACCAGCAGATAAAAGATCTTTATCTTATCTCTCTCTCTCTCTCTCTCTCTCTCTCTCTATATATATATATATATGCTTTTGGATAGATGATCTATTATCTATCTATCTATCTATCTATCTATCTATCTATATCATCCATCCATCCATCCATCCATCCATCTTTATTGATATCTGTCACTCTGCCTTTCAAGTTTCTTATGTAGGCTGCCTATCTCCCATACCAAGTATAGACCATGATATGTGGTCAGTATTTCTTGATTACGTGAGCTTCAATTTATAGCTCTCCTTCACTGCCTGTTTCAGTACTTCTCCAAGTGTTGTTGATTCTTTCTCTATAGTGTCTCTTCAAGCTAGAATCCTACTTCCTGCTTCCATGACCATCACTCAAGTAGAACTAAGTGTTCAAACATTCTCAAGCCTAGACAACCATAATAACCTCTGTGCTAGTCTAACCACCTCCAATGTTATAATCTAAGTCAATATGTAATTGATTTGTATTCTGATTTATAAAAATGTGTCCAATTATAGGTAAGTCATCCAAAATCCATTTGACAATATAGGTAAATCATATTATTTATTTATTGAGCATATTAAATATAATTTTATCATTACTTTCTACTCAAGAAGCTACAGTTATTTGTTATTTCACCAAATTTTTAAGTTGTACCTGGTTTTTGTCATGTTCTTTTCTATTATTCTCATTATTCTTTGATGAGGGCATTCTTGTTTGGTTTGTACATAATCAACACACCCCTTCTTTCATTTTAAATCCAGTAACAGCTTGCCCCATAGGAATATATAGATTTTGTCTCCATGGCATTATGTGGTGAGACTGTTGACTGTCCTCTAAAATCATTTTTCCTCGTGTACCATAATTATCTAGGCAGATAGCTGCCCTGCCAAAGTACCAGCTTCTCTTGTAGTTAGATATGACTATATGACCAAATTCTCTCCAATGGAATGTGGGAAGAAGTGGTATGTCTTATTTCAAGGAATTACATATAAAAACCTCCACATGGGGCTGGCATTGTTGGCTTAGTGGTTTAAGCCTGTGATGCTGGCATCCCATATGGGCACCAGTTTGAGTCAAAGCTGCTCCACCTCTGATCAAGCTTCCTGGTATTGCACAGGGAAGCAGTGGAAGATGGCCCAAGTACTTGCGCCCCTTTCGCCTATGTAGAAGACCTGGATGGAGCTCCAGGCTCCTGGCTTGGACCTGGCCCAGCCCTGTCCATTGTGGCCATTTGGGGATTGAACCAGCAGATGGAAGATCTGTCTCTCACTCTTTCTGTCTCTGTCACTCTGAATTTCAAAGAAGTATATAAATTAAAAAAAAAAACAACCTCCAAGTGTATTCTTCCTTATTCTTTCTCACTTTTTGTGTACTGAAATGGTCACCATGATAACTAGAGAAAATAGAAAGTTAGGTGTCATCAGCCTGGACCCCTGAATGTCTCATGGAGCAAAGCCTCTTGCTCTCATGCAGCCACCATCAACCCATTTGAAACTTCTGCTTTGGATTATTACATTAAACAGAAATAAAACTTATCTTTGAATTTAGGGTATATTTTAGTTCTAACTTGTTTTAGTCCTATTTTGTCTACTTAAATATATAAAAAGCATGCAAAAATCTGTCGAGGGTAACATCAGTAGACTCAGAAATTGGCACTCAATCTGTTTTTCTCAGCTTTAACCAATTCTCCTGCTGAGTTTTGTCTACTTAAGTATTGTCTTCTCTTTTGGAAGGCAATTGGGATGCCCTTCTCTTTTTGAAGATCTAACCTCCACTTTGACCTTTATCCCAGCTTGCCCATCTTTCAGCTTTGCCTGCTATCTTAGAAAAATTCTATCCTTAGCAAATTCCTCATGCTACCCCAGAAGACCCACCAGCAGATTGATCAGCTCCTTGCTTCAGGAAAGAGAAAGTCAAATATTTAAAACTTTGCAAATGTCATTATCCCGCCAGGAATTTTAGTCCTTTTTTTTTTATTCTTCTCCATATCACATTCTTCTGTTTCTTCAAAATCTAATTCAAAATCATTTTATAGGATTAAAATCTTTATGACCACACCACTTCTCAGATTACTCCCTCACTTCACATTCTTCTCTGTATCTGGAACTACCGAAATAGTGCATTTGTGGGGACTAAGATAGCATGGTGCTATTATTTGAATGTGCCCTCCACTGTTAGGAACTTAACACACAATGCAACAGTGTTGAGAGGTGGGACCTTTAACAGGTGATTAGGTCACGAGGGCTCTGCTTTCATGAATGGATTGATGCCATTATCATGGGAGTAGCTCCTGATAAAATGAGTTTAGGGTCTTTGCTCTTCTTTCTTATGATCTCTTGCCAGTCCACTTTCCACAATGAGATGATGCAGCAAAAAGGCAAAGTTCTTACCAGATGTGATTCCCTCCATCTTGGACATTCCAGCCTCCAGAACCATGATACATAAATTTCTGTTCATTGCAAGTTACTCAGTTTATAGTATTCTGTTATAACAGCATGAAATGGACCAAGACTCATGAATAGTAACTTTTTAACTTCTTTTCAGTTTCTTTTTTACTTACTGATATTGGAAGAAAACCGAAGAATTTGTTTTGTAACCAAGGAAAGGAGGGAGAGTATGGAGAGCTGGACTGAAGGAGATGGTATATAGTGTTATCCTTAATTCTACCCTTCAAATGCATTTGAACTTCTGATGCTTTTGTGGGGGTGAAGTTATTTTGTTGAAAGTCTGGTATCCATTAATACTTACATGGAATCCAGTTTAGGAAGCCTAATACAGAATTTGGGGATGAGCTTTATCTTCAGTTCTATATGGGACCTCATACTACTCTTAGCACCACATGGAATGGTAGTTTGTAAAAACTGGAAGGTGGCATAAATGGCACAGACCTAACTTCCATGTATGGGCACCATCTTCAGGGGTTAAGAGCGAGGCTTTATAGGTAGCTGATGTTATCAAATAGGAAAACAAAGTATGAGAGAAAGAACATTATAGTCACTATGTAGTGACAAAAGGTGAGATATGGATTGTAAACACTATTGCCTCTCTTCTTTCATTCCATTTGTACACTTTAGACTCTCAGTGAAGTTGCAAGAGAAGTTAGAGGTCTTGCATGACCAAGTGGGAAGTGGAATAAGAACTCTGGGTCCTTAATATTAAAATACTGTGTATGTCTCCATAGGCTTGTGAAGCCTAGAGGCATTTGAGCTAACTATATACACCAAGATTCCAATTTTTGTGCTTTGCAGATGTTCTTACCTTAACTCCTAATGTTCATTTTGAGTCCCAATCCAAGTTCCTTAAGAAGAGACTATGTATTTTATTTCTATACATGATTTTACTTTCTGGGCCTTTGAAACTATATGTTTGTACTTTAGAAACCCCTTTGCTTCTATTTCACTTTATCTCCTTCCCTTTTCATAAATTCCCTGATGTACACTCTTCAGTGGTCTCAATTTCCAGAATTTTTTTTCACATTAAGTATTTAGTAAAGACAATTTTAACCCAAGACAATTATTCTTATTAGTTTCCAAAAAACTAATATTTTCTTTTTAATGCACATATTTATTGAGTCACAAAGTAAGAGGACTTGCTTTCATATCCAATGATTGATATACTCCACAATGCATTCTATAAGACATCTATTTTCATTTAATAAATTTCATTTATAAAATCCAAGACATTTTCATATTTTAATTATCAACACTACTTAAGTAACACATACTTTGAAAAATGTCTCAGTCATATTATAATGACCATTTTGTTCTACCAAAACAAGTATACATACAGCACTATTACCAGAAATGAATTTTTTTCAAACATATACAACATTAATTAATTAATTTCAAGCAATCCATAACTCAGGCAAAGCTTCAGTGGAACAGGGGATAAGTGGTTGTCTGGGACTTGAGTTTTCTTTTTTTATCCTTTTTATAAAACACACATTACTTACATTTCAACACATCTACTTGATTTTGTTGCAAATAGAACTTAAAGTATTTGTTACATGTACTGTGATTATTGTCTTTCTTTTCCTTTTTCTTATCTTCATGGTAAATATTACTAATCAGAAAATAAACTACCACATGATAAGCCTGATACCAACAACATTCCTGTCTGTACATTCACCTGGCTATCCTTGGCAAGTAAATAAATGAACAATGCAGAACCTCTAATAACTCACACTCATCATCAAATCAAAGGTTGACGGTAAATAAAATGTTGATGTGAAATACATGATAGTTTTGGTTTTGATTTACATAAAAAAAAACCCTAAAACAAAACAAAACAAAATCACCACCAACTTGATTATAAACTACAATGAAACTGTAGGCAACTTTCAAACAATGAGCAGTCTGAATAACAAATCAGCTACAAGATGAACCCTTCTTTCAGAGTTCATTGTACAATTGTCGTTCTCCTCTTTCTCTTCACATTGCTTTGCAGTGTGTCATTTTGTTGCCTGTGGTTTTGCTTCATGTTGTTTAATGTTCAACTTCTTATTTCATTTTTTGTCCTTTCTTGTTATTTTGCTTTGTTTCAGATGGTGCCTTTCACTTATAATTTACCACACTTTTAGGAAATGAGATCAGAAGGGCTATGAAATATATTTTTCTCCTGATCTCTTTGATACTCTTCCTGGGCTCTTTGCAGCTTACGGCCCCTCAGCCTCCACTTCTGGAAACAGTATGTCACAAAGGAGGTCATTACCAATGAGAAAATAATTATCAGCACTATTATTAGGGCCACCATGGAGGAGAGAGGAGCCTCCAGATGGGTGGCTTCACCCTGGATGGTTGCATTCAGCTTATTAATATTCTCATAGTTCTCGGAAGTCCAGAAGGCAGGCATGAATCCTAAGTTGAAAGGTGATCTCATTGGAAGAAACACCAACGATGCACTCTTTCTCTCACAGTCTTTGCCTTGAAGATGATGGAAGAGTTGACTTGGATTTTCTGTTCAAGAAAATGATAGTAACCTTCAGTAGACTGCCTTGGGAGCTAGCTTTGAAAAGAGTGGAGTCAACTTTGCACTAATATTGAGCTACTGAAGATGAACTAAAGTCTCAAAATTCAAGAATGACTGCAACATACACAAGATCTTAACAGTTCATTGAATTGGGGTAGGGCATATTAGTGACATTACAAGAGAAATATCAGCAGAACTCTCTCCATTCTCTTTGAGATTAATTCTCACATCCTTTGGCAGCAAGGATGTGTTAACTTAATGTGTTTTTAATAAGAGATAAAGCCTTTCATAAAATTATGGAGAATTTTGAATCCAGAAAAATAACCTGGGCCAACATTGCCTGTATTTGGCAAGCATGTTAGCTCTCGTTAAAGGACTAAAATGACTACATTATCTGAAAGCCAAGATAAAACAATCAGTTTGAAAACACCAATCCATGCAAGCTATGGCATGTATTGGCACAATGATGTTTTCAACATCCACTTTGAAGTAGTTCCTTTGATTAGCTGTTTTCAGAGTAGGAACACTGATAATATAATTAATCTAGAATAATAGATGTTAAAATAACTTATGCTTCCAATATACAATTTTACCTTCCTTTTTTAAAAAAAATATTTGTTAATTTATTTGAAAGTCAGAGATAGAGAGGCAGAGAGAGAGAACGAGAGAGAGAGAGAGAGAGAGAGAGAGAGAGAGGTCTTCCATCTGCTGGTTCACTCTTCAAATGGCTGCAATGGCCAGTGCTGGGCCAGGCTGAAGCCAGGAGCCAGGAGTTTCATCTGGGTCTCCCATATGGGTACAGGGGCCCAAGGACTTGGGCCATCCTCTGCTGCTTTCCCAGGGATATTAGCAGGGAGCTAGATCAGAAGTGGGGCAGCTGGGATTCGAACTGCTGCCCACATGGGATGCTAGTGCCGCAGGTGGTGGCTCCAGCCACTAAGCCACAGCTCTGACCCCAATTTTATCTTTCAAAAATTTTACTGATGTACTGTTATTTTCACTAACTATCAGCTGGTAAAATTCTTAGTGGCCCCACCTGAATTAAGAGAATTCTGAGTTATATCCTTTGTTTGGAGAATAATTATATATATGTATATATAATTATAATTAACTTTTTAATGGAAGTAAGTAATCTAGCTTTCCATGCAGTGAGGAACTAAGTGCCTGTTTACTAATTAACTGTGGTATTAAGAACTTCCAACTCAAATGCACTCTTGTTTACTACAAAGTGACATATTATTACTAAAGACTAAATTAGCTGTTCTCCCTAATCAGAAGCACATATGCTCCCACAATATGTTAACTTCCAGGAGTGTTTAAATACTTAATTTTAGAAAGTTTCAAGGAAGGAAATATGGTGTATTTTGAGTAAAGAAGAGAAGATAGGTTTAGAGGTACACACATGATATATAAGACCATTACAATGATAAATAATGAAAATGTAAATAAAGCATGGTCAAAGGCCAAAGGCCATAGGCTTTGCAGTCTAATGTTTATCAATGTAGTGAATATTATACCCACATTTCTATTGTCTAAAATGCAAAACACATACATAAGTGCAGAAACATTTCAGAGAGATTGTCCCACCAATGACTCCAAAATGAAGCTTAGAATAATGCCCATTTTTGAGCAATTTATTATTTTTGGGTTGCTGCCATTTGAAAAATGCAGCATCTGATTGTCCCTTGAGGAATATATGGGGATAATACTCCAGGCACATCCAAAGTCTCCAGTGACCACTCCATTCTGTGATTCTCATGGAATAAAATGACCAAAAATTTGACCATAAAACTGACAAAGTAGGCTTGTCTTTTGAGACAGGAGATTGGATTCCAACTGGTTTCACTTCTACAGCTCCTGGTTTTAAAGAAAGCCATGTATCCAGGCAGAGGAAGGTAAGCAAAATACGTGTCATGTATTTCTCTTCCCTTGGAATTGGCAGATACTGAAAGGCAGAGATAAGTTGCAGGCACTCTGCATACTTCTCCCTGGGAACAGCCAAGAACCTTACTCCTTTTCCAGATCTTTGTTATCTAGCCTCATTAAAGGGACTTGAACAGTTTGGAGATTCATTTTAGATCTTCATCAAATTATTGAATCTTAAACTGTCAGAGTTGGAAGGAGCTTTACACAGTTTATAAAGACCCTTTATTATTTATTTTTAAAGGCTGAATGTCCAAATAAAAATATGGGAGATATGATTGGTATTTTTAAAGTGACTCTCTGCCAGCAGCAGAGAATAAAAATACCAAGCTATCAATGGCAGTTAGTCATGGATTTAAGATTCAGTGTGGAAACACATGTTTCAGTCAGGGCAGCTGTTGAACTGGCTTTGATAGTCAAGGCAAGAGGTTTTCTTTGTTAAACTCCTTTTCAAATAACCTTTAAAATTGTCCCCATCCAGCTATTCTTTCCCAACCCCCAGCTTTACCCTTCAAGCTGAAATTTATTCATGTATTGAGTAGCCCACAGGAGGAAAATAAACCTGGAGTTCCTTCTCTTGTTTTTGCTAATGTTAAATCACATGAATGAAGAACTATTTATATCAGAAGGGGCTTCACAATTATCCATATAGGTCATTCACAAAAAGTACAGATTTGCTCTTTAACAACAGAGGATGCATGCAATGAAGATTTAAATAAGCAAATTAATGACTCCATTAAGTTCACACAATGCCTCATTCTATTTACTGTTTAGCCTAGCTTAAGATCTTAAGGAGAAATTCAGAGGAATGAGTAGGAGGTGGAGTGATAGAGGGCCCTAGATGGAATCATTTCTAAATCAATTCCACACACTTATTACTTGCATTTATGTTGGTTCAAAAAAAATTCACCAAAATAAAGTGCGTGTGTTCATGTGATATGTAAAGAGATCAGGGGTAGGGATACAAATACAGATCGGGCCTCTGGCCACCCAGCTTCAGTACCATGCCTCAGATTTCACTGTGAAAGACTGAATACTATCAGTGTCAGTGTCAAGTGTTCGAGGGTATATTCTTTTCTCCAGCATCATCTCCTAGGAACATAATAAAACCAACCTCAATAGATCACTTACCGCTGCCTATGAGGATCTGCTCTTCTCTTCACTCTCTCCTCATATTCATCTTCTATCCCCTGTTACCATTTGCCTCCCTAAAGGAAAAATATCTTCCACATTGTTTATGGATTTTACTGCAGTGGACATGAATGCAGAAACAAAACCCCAGACTCCATGGCTTATTTAATTTGATTATGTTTGTAAGAGCACTTGGTTATTACTGTGGTTGTGTGTGTTAACTTTGCATTTGTACAGATGAGAATGAGAAATGTCTTCCACAACACCTGGGTTTTAAAAGTTTTTCAAATGAAGATAATACTAAAACAAAAGCAGCACACTATTCTTAAAGTAGCCTAGTACTGAAGCAATAAGTTCCCAGCTAATTTTTCTAGGACTACAGTTCTTGGACTAATTTTAAGGCACTTTGCTGCTCTCTGATGCTGTGCTACCAAGCAGGGGAGGGCACTAGCACACCATCTACTTCCCTGCTCCAAGGTGGGGTTCCTTTCCACTTAGAACTACCAGGAAGGAAGGTTGGACAGCCAGGGCTGTGGTGCAGGTATGAATATGCCTAGGGGTCATCTTTGAAAATTGCACACTTAAGATTATTGTCACTGCTTCACTCTTCCACAAAACTCTATAGATGTATTTCCTTGACTGAGTCTAGCAAAATTGCTTATCAGGTTAGTTTTCTCCTCAATCAGGGTTGTTGGCTGGTGTGCATTGATTGCCATTTTAATCTGTCTGGAGGAGGGGGAATCAAAAAGGAATATATTACATAAAAGAGGCAGTGAGACATGATGGCTGACACCTTAAGACCTACCACAAAATTCAACTGTTAATTATCTTCTGGCTGTATTGTGAGCATCTCTGTGTGAATCACGTCAGTTCATTGCATGTGTATGTGTCCTGTGAACCACACAGATTCTCACTAACTTAAACCCATACCTTTCTTGTAGAGGAATTCAAATTAAGACTCGTGGAGGGGTCAGTGACTCCATCACTGTCTTTGTACTTGTTAAGATTGTATGTCTGCCTCACTACACTACCTCATTGAGGGCTGTTTCTTTGAATCTCATCTCACCTCCTGTAAAGGATTGGAATCCTAATAGTGACTTGCTAGTGGAAACTGAAAGAAATGTGTACTATGAGAGAGAAAATATTAGCTATTGCATGTGAGGGCAGTTGAAAGCACATTGCTGGCGGGAGGGAGGGTAGGTGGGAAGTATCACTATGTTCCTAAAATCTGTATATATGAAATACATGAACTTGTATAACTTAAATAAAATTAAAAAGAAAAAGAAAGTAAGTACATTACCAGCAGGGGTAGATTGGGATCTACTGGGCACTTTGGAGGGGGTTTGGTGGAAACATTATTTTAGAACTCAGCCTTTGGCTCTGTTTGTTTTCAAGATAGGAGCAATACCTGTGCTTCCGCCACAAAGGCAGAAGACACAATTTCAGATCCAAACCAAGGGAACAGCGGGTGCCTTAAGCCTTTCCCAGGTCCCACCCTTCCCCAGGGGTCCTGGGGTCCAAAGAAGGCCCAGCCTTTGGGCGCTTTCCTCTCCTTCAGACTTCCCTCCTCTTTGTCTTTCAGGTGGTGGGTATACCTGCCACTGCTGTCAGAGGGAGCTGCCAGATAAGGATTGAGAATGAATTGGAGCCATCCTCTGCCTAAGTCAGTATGCGTGCCCGCTCCCCCCCACCCCTACCTCTCCTCTCCCTCTCCTCCTCCTCTAATGTGCGATGAAACCTGTGTGTCTCCAAAGCACTCTCAGTACTGGGCTAGCTGCGAGATCGCCTCTGGGCTCCAGGAAGCTGAACTTCCAGTTTACCCATCCCTCTTCAAGAGGGGCGTGGTCTCTCAGCAGCTAACATTTCTTCCCAAGGACAGTGGCTGAGTAGGGGGTCCTCATAAATTGAGCACACTCACTCCGAGTTTCAGATAGCGTTCTTGGCGCTAGCTGGATGCAAGGGAATTCCCTAAGATCTCCATACTCTCCCTCTCCCTCCCCCTCCCCTCACACAGGCGCGCTCACACACACACACACACACACACACTCCTATCCCACCCCTTGTTCCTGCTCTCTTTTCCTCCTTCCCCCTCCTTTTCCCGCAGTGAGTCCAGAGCCTGCACATCTTTGGGAGGGGGCAGCCAGGAAAGGACCAGGCGTTTTGGGAAGCCATATCCATTAAGTTTGGGTTCAGCTGCTACAGCCAGGGCACAGGGGTCCGGAATGGGCGCTAGCGCAACTGGAAGGAGGGAACGGCTCCCCCAGGAGCGCTACGATACCCTAGCTCTGTCCACAGTTCCTACTGGATCCGCACGCAGGTGCCACGGGGGTGCGAGCGCCAGAAGCGAGCGCTCCGGGACCGCCTCCATGTATGCCACCCCCACTCCTGAGGCAGCCTCTGTCCCCCAAAGCGGGTTCTATCAGGGTGCAAGTCCGCGGCTCGCGGCACAGGTGCGCCACACTCCGCCATTGTCTCTTCCCAGCCGCCAGCTGCATTAGGAGCTGGAATGGCGGGAGTCGGAGCCCAGTTTTTGTAATGGGGAAACTGAGGTTCAAAGAGGTTAAAAAGCCCTCGTTGCTCAAGGTTATCCCGCAAGGTTGAGGCAGGATTAGAAAGAAACCCAGGCTTCCGGACTCCCAATCCACTGCACTTTTACCATCTACAGTCCAACGCCGCCTTCCTAAAGCCTTGGGCGCCCAGCAGGAGCCACACAGGCGAACCGCACCAGTACTTAGAAATGTTTCTCATACATCCAGCCTTCTTTCTCTCTTAACACCAATCCGCCCAGCCCAGCTCAGTTCGCTACCCAACCACCTTTCCATTCTTCTGTCCGCGTGCGATCTGGTAAAGGAGATCGCCCTACCTGGGCAGATCACGGAGCCGGGCTCTCGAGGTTGCCGCCGTTCCAAGAGTGCAGGGCTGGGGGCGGGGGAAGAGGTGCTGGCTGGTGACTGCTGCGGCGAGAGCAGCTCACTCCGGGTGATGTCTCCCTCAGCATCTGAGCGCAGCCTAGAACTGTTCAACTTTATTTAGGGGAAGGTGGTCACGTGGGCGCGCGCCCGCGAACCAAAAAGCTTGGCGAATAAAATCAGGTCATGGTGTCCTGGCCGCCTCCGCCTACCCAGCCCCACAGCAGCTAGCCAGCAAACGGAACATGGCCTTCACGGGGGCTGGGAGGGGGCACGGAGGAGACTGGATTATTCCAGTCTTTTGCCTATGGGAATTTGGCTGGAATTCATTAGGAAGCAAAGAGACAATTGGAGATTGGAGCAAGAACCGGTTGCCCTGCGCGGGCTCTGGAGAAGAGCACTCCATCTGGATGGGTGCCTCTTGACAATAAGGGCTCTGGTCTTAGTCATCTTAGGTCTCCAATTTCTAGTATATTGTCTGCCACTGAGGAGGCACTCGGTAACTGTTGGTTATGTTGGGGCAAAATTTCATACAGAGAACCCATCTGGTTGGGAGCTCTGTGATTTTTTTGTATGCTTCTTACCCAATAGCTCTCTACTCTGAAGTTAACACAAACCCCACCCTGGGGTGGTGCCCATCCCCTAATTGCTCCTCTCTGCAGTGTCCAGTTTCTGAGAAACACTCTCTGTTGAATCACCGAGTCAAGTAGGCTTGTATTGGATGAGCTGCCACCAAGGAAGCTTTCTGTGGTCCCAAAGCACTCTGTATTCCTCTTGGCCCATGACACTGAGGACTATGTAAGAGACTCAGATGGAGTTCCTAGCTCCTGGCATCATTCTGGATGGAGTTTCTGGCTCATTACTTTGACCTGATCCAGCCTTGTCTGTTCCAGCCATTTAGGGTGTGAACCAATGGATGGAAGATCTATTTCTCTGTCCATCTTTCCCTCTCCCTTTGTTACTTTGCCTTTTAAATAAGTAAAATAAATTTAAAAATACTAAATCTACTATGGGAAACGGTGGCTTGATCAGCATAGCCCTGACTGTTAATGAACAACTTAATACATTATCCCTCTTAGTAGTTTTTTTTATCTGTTCTACTTAATATGACTGATTTAGTTCTGTAATTGATGCACAGTTATTCTTAAGTGTTGAAAATTAACTGAAATGTGATCCCTGTTGAACATGGGAGTGGGAATGGGAGAGGGAAGAGATGTATAATTTGGGACATGCTCAGGCTGACTTGCCCCAAGTGGTGGAGTTGGAAGCATACCAGGGGATTCCAATTCAATCCCATCGAGGTGGCATGTACCAATGCCATCTCACTGTTCCAGGTGATCAATTTCAGTTCACAGTTGGTCATGGTGGAGGGACTGGGAGTCAAAGGGAGCACATAGACAAGTCTAGTACCTGCTAACGCTAACCGATGGAGTAAATAAAGGGGAGAGTGATCCAACATGGGAAGTGAGATACTCAGCAGACTCATAGAATGGCAGATGTCCTAAATAGCACTCTGGCCTCAGAATCAGCCCTAAAGGCATTCGGATCTGGCTGAAAAGCCCATGAGAGTATTTCAGGCATGGAAAGCCAAGACACTCTGGCAAAAGATCTCTGTGAGTGAGATCCCAGTGGAAAGAACAGGTCTTCAAAGAAGGAGGTACCTTTCTCTGAAGGGAGGAGAGAACCTCCACTTTGACTATGACCTTGTCTAAACAAGATAAGAGTCGGAGAACTCAGAGGGCTTCCATAGCCTTGGAAACTCATGACTGGAGCATAGGATTACTGATGCCATAGACAGGAGTGTCAATTGGTAAAGTCAACAACAGGAGTCACTGTGCAGTTACTCCTCATGTAGGATCTCTGTCCTTAATGTGCTGTGCATTGAGATTTAATGCTATAACGAGTACTCAAACAATATATTTCACTTTGTGTTTCTATGGGGGTGCAAACTGTTGAAATCCTTACTTAATGCATACTAAACTGATCCTCTGTAACAAAAAAAAAGAAATTATCAATTCTCAACTTGACTCTCACTGGGATTAAACATGACAATAGGTCTGCTCTGATTTCATCATCATTAAAAAAAATCATCTATTATTTTTCACTTTATGTTTCTGTGTGGGAGCAAACTGTTGAAATCCATACTTAATGTATACTAAGCTGATCTTCTGTATATTGAGATAATCGAAAATGAATCTTGATGTGAATGGAAGGGGAGAGGGAGTGGGAAAGGGGAGGGTTGTGGGTGGGAGGGACGGTATCGGGGGGAAGCCATTGTAATCCATAAGTCGGACTTTGGAAATTTATATTCATTAAATAAAAGTTAAAAAAAAATACTAAATCTGCCAATGCCTTGATGTTGGACTTCTCAGCCTCCAGAATTGTGAGAAAAGACATTTCTGTTGTTTTAAACTATGTACTCTGGACAGAAAGCAGGAATGTGGCTGAGTAAGATGTTCCAGTGACCACTTTCCCACAGAGATAACAATTTGAACAGCTATTCACACACCAAGTCACCTTCATAAGAGCAACTAAAGCCAGATGAGAGAACACAATGCATAGTTTTAATATAATAGTAAGAAAAGTTGCATTGAATAAAGCAGGAAAGAAAGAGTCATCAGTCAGTCAACTCCAAGTAGCACAGCATGGAGAAAGATTTCTCCTGTTTGCGTGGGGGGAACTGAAATTGAGTCCCAGTGTCAGGCCCACTGTAATAAAAATGCAAAGTTGGACAGAGCCACAAGGCCTGGTCCCCTGGCCCACACCTACAGACTATTTGGACCCTCTGTAGCCAGGCAACCTCTGCTACTTCTCTCCAGTTGGCAGCAGAAAGAGCAAGATTCCAGCCACTGTGGTGTATGGCAGGAAAGGGAGCTTAGGACACTGCCTTGGAATTCAAAGCTGGGCCTACTACCTTTAGATCCAGCACTTGATAAAGCCCAAAGGACTCTACCTCTGGGCAAGTGCTGCTGAACGGAGCCTCCAGACTTCTCTGGCATTGGATGCAGGCCTGTGCTCTGGTGGGATGGATTCATTCCAGTGTGTGTTACTACCAGTCTCAAGCAGGCCCCAAGGACATTGTGGGGGCCAGTGCTGTGGTAGAGTGGGCAAAGCTGCCATCTGTAGTGCTGGCATCCTGTATGGGTGCTGGTTCAAGTCCTGGCTGCTCCATTTCACATCTGACTCTCTGCTATGGCCAGAGAAAGCAGTAGAAGATGGCTCAAGTCCCATGTGGAAGACCAGGTAGAAGAAGCTCCTGGCTTCAGATCAGCCCAGCTCCGGCCATTGCAGCCACTTGGGGAGTGAACCAGGGGATGGAAGACCTCTCTCTGCCTCTGCATCTCTATAACTCTGCCTTTCAAATGAACAAATAAATAAATAAATCTTTTTTTTAAAAAAATGACATTGTGGAGAATGGTGACAGTGGAACCCAGTTGTTACCCTGCTATTGCAAGTCTGAGTGATTAGGGAGCTGCCTTTGCCTTTATCACTCTTCTTCCGATGTGGGCAGAAAGCAAGAAACCACCAGACTGTCTTGTTATTAAGTGCTGGGCTGGTAAAGCCCAACACTGGGCAGATCTGATGGTGTGCATCCTAGGCAAGTTCCTTTGTGAGGAGTCTCGGAACTTGTCCCAGTATCAAATGGAGACCTGCACCCTGGTGGGATAGACTTGTTTCAGCATTTATCATCATGAGCTTCACATGCACCTAGAGTGTACCCTCACAATTGCACAGGGCTTAATGACTGTGAGATCCAGGTGTGAACACAAATTGCCTGTCTGAGAAGGCCAAGGGCTGCCTCCATCACCCCTACTACAACCTTAGGAAGACAGCAAGAAAACACAGGACTGTTTTGGGACTCAGTGACAAGCTGATAAAATTAAAATTGGGCTGATACCAATGGTCCCTGTGACCTGGCCAGTTCATACATACAGAGCCCCTGGAACTGCTTCAGTGCCAAGTGGAATTACTTGACCTGAATGGTACAGTTTTGTATTCTAACTAGCATCATTAGTGGCTGGTAGGAGCAGCATCAGACAATAAGTCAACCTCAGCAGAAGATGGATCACAGTAGGGTGGGCTTTGGTCCTACTCCTAAGCTGCACTGCTGGGTCTTGTGTCTGTGTGTGATCTAGCATCACAGTATTGGTGCCCAAAGGAATAGGTAACTGGGTCTACACCAGACTCAGGAGGCGGATTTAAGGGATGGATCACTCCTTTTAAAACACTTTTTCTGTTCATTCCAAACACAGGAACTTCAGTTTTGGTACAAACCTGAGCTTAAAGAGTTTTGTAGGATAGAAACAATGAAGAATAACACCTAAACCTGACTTTGTACAAACTTTGACTTGGGGTGCTGTTTAGTGCAAAAATACCAAAGTGTCCATAGGCTCAGAGAAAATAAACAGATTGCTTAGAATATCTGAAGAGGCTGCCACAAACAAACCAGGAGTACCATAGCCAATCCTGCAATGTATACATGGTGTCATACACTGAGAAATATCAAAAACTTTCGTGGAATCATGACCTCACATAAAGAGCAGGGTGCCAGAAACCAACTATGTAGGAATTAAAGTTTTCAAATTCTCAGATGAAGATCTTTTTAGAGAGTTATTTTGTTTATTTGAAAAGCAGAAAAAGAGAGAGAGAGCGAGCGAGCTTCCTTCTGCTGGTACACTCCACAAATGCCTGGGCCAGGCCAAAGCCAGGAGCCAGAAACTTCATCCAGTTCTCCAATGTGGGGGCAGGGGCTCAAGTACTTGGACCATCTTCTATTGCCTTCCCAGGCACATTAGCAGGGAGCTGTATTGGAAATGGAGCAGCTGGGACTCGAACTAGTGCCTATATGGTTTCAGTATCTCAGGCAGAGGCTTAACCCATTAGGCCACAATACTGACACTGACCCCAGATGAAGAGTTTAAAATAGCTATTTTAAGGAAACTTAATGAGCATCAAGAGAACAACAGAGAAACAATTTAATACTCTATTCTAATTGATAGTGAGATGGAAGTAATTAAACAAAAACAAAAAGAAATCCTTCAACTGAAAAATACAGTGAAATTGCAAACATGATAGAAGGCATCAGTAGCAGAATACATTTAACAAAAGAATTAATAAGGGGGCTGGTGCTGT